TTATAATCTTTTTGTCCCTAACTTGTGTGTTTTGGGGCTCATTTTTTAGCAGTTTGTGTTGATCATCTTAAAGAGCTTAAACTGATTAAAGACTTTAGACTGATTTAAGATGCAGTAAGGACGTAGATAATTTTAACCTGTCAAAATGGAATAAAAATACAATTTGGGGTGGTAGGCAACTTGGGACTTAAAAGATGGGGATAGGGATGGGGATGCGGATGGGAGGATGCAAGTTAAGGGGTCCCATCTGAGGACTCTGAACCAGTTTAGAAAAGTGCATCTTTAAAATGCTACACACACCTGTCCAAATAAAAATCGAAGAAAAACTCTCTAAAACATTTGCCAAAAAACCCCAACCCAAATCCAGTTTTTTTCCCTGTAAGGTTGTACCTAGAGAATGCTTGATAGTGTGGTGTGGTTTACAGGTTTTATTGGCACTCATTTAGGATGACCAAATAAACCATTAAGACTCCATATCCTAATATCTATTATAGGCAGTTGTGCAATAAAAATAGGCAACCTTAATTTTGGTATTTCTTAACATTTGAGTGCTTGCTTTTGCAACCTTAATAAAGTTATTTTAATGTACTTTTTGTGTATAATTACAGGTAATATAGGTTTCAGAGGAACAGCCGTGTTAGTCTGTATTCGCAAAAAGAAAAGGAGTACTTGTGGCACCTTAGAGACTAACCAATTTATTTGAGCATGAGCTTTCGTGAGCTACAGCTCACTTCATCAGATGCATACCGTGGAAACTGCAGCAGACTTTATATATACACAGAGAATATGAAACAATACCTCCTCCCACCCCACTGTCCTGCTGGTAATAGCTTATCTAAAGTGATCAACTGGTGGGCCATTTCCAGCACAAATCCAGGTTTTCTCACCCTCCACCCCCCCACACAAATTCACTCTCTGCTGGTGCTAGCCCATCCAAAGTGACAACTCTTTACATAATCAAGTCGGGCTATTTCCATTTATGCAGGAAATAGCCCGACTTGATTATGTAAAGAGTTGTCACTTTGGATGGGCTAGCACCAGCAGGAGAGTGAATTTGTGTGGGGGGGTGGAGGGTGAGAAAACCTGGATTTGTGCTGGAAATGGCCCACCTGTTGATCACTTTAGATAAGCTATTACCAGCAGGACAGTGGGGTGGGAGGAGGTATTGTTTCATATTCTCTGTGTATATATAAAGTCTGCTGCAGTTTCCACGGTATGCATCTGATGAAGTGAGCTGTAGCTCACGAAAGCTCATGCTCAAATAAATTGGTTAGTCTCTAAGGTGCCACAAGTACTCCTTTTCTTTTTACAGGTAATATAGTTATATATAGCCGTTCTATCCCAGCATGTATTGTTATATACTTTCACCTTAGGGGAAGGGTTTCATGTAAGATTTTTCATTTTTTAAAATATACAATAGCTCTCCTGGATCATGTCAATCAAATAGTATTACAGTCTCTCTGAGTTCACCCTGACATGATAGACTATTATGACTGTGAAAGAGCTGATATGGTCTATTGTGTTGATGATCCTTGGCTTATGGGAGTGTCTGATGTACTTAAAATCGTAAAGGATACTGAGGATTCCTACCTTCCTCGTTATTTCAAATATGCGTTATATTCGCGCACAAAAAAGTATATTATATTAGTATGATAAGAGTGTGAGTTAAATTGCCAAAAGAAAACTTGGAGTTATAGGCTAACATCCTGCTTTCTACTCATATGGTTTTGGTGCCTAGAAATTGCAGCATGCACAATACTAGCTAAAATTGTAGGTAGCGTGAGTGTCTGTTGCATTGCCTAGGCATAGAGATGTATGAAAAATCTCTTAGCCTGCTCATACGCAAATGTAGAACGTGATGTGCAACAAAGGGACATCATAAATAAATCCGATGAAGTGAGCTGTAGCTCACGAAAGCTTATGCTCAAATAAATTTGTTAGTCTCTAAGGTGCCACAAGTACTCCTTTTCTTTTTGCGAATACAGACTAACACGGCTGTTACTCTGAAACCTGTCATAAATAATAGTGATGGAAGCTTATGTTATGCTAGTCCTCAAAGAGAAGTTACAAACTTGAGGCAGATTTTATTGGTGAGATTCTTTAGCCTGTGTTGTGCAGGAGGTCAGACTAGATGACCATAATAATTCCTATGATTCTATGACTCTATGATTCTTATGATGATGATATGAACATAAGAACTACCAAATCCTTACTCCTTGAGCGAAAGGAGAACTTTTAATACTGTAAGGCCTATGACACACAGTTAAGCAGATCTTATTCCATCCAGTAGAGGGCAGTATTACACATGCAAACGAGCCAGTTTATTACCATATTGTGTTGTGAGACTGTAATTTAGATTGATATAATTTGAAATCACTGTTAGTATACTACCTCTCATTGGTGTCAAGTATCAGGGGGTAGCCGTGTTAGTCTGTATCCACAAAAACAACAAGGAGTCTGGTGGCACCTTAAAGACTAACAGATTTATTTGAGCATAAGATTTTGTGGGTAAAACCCCACTTCTTCCAGGCATCTGAAGAAGTGGGGTATTTACCCAAGAAAGCTTATACTCAAATAAATCTGTTAGTCTTTAAGGTGCCACCGGCCTCCTTGTTACCTCTCATTGTTGGCCCTCATTATGAGGTGCATCTCAGTTCTGACCCAAACGAATCCACTGCTGAACCCCACAATCCTGGTGTTATTTCACTGTTGATATTTGTCAGTTATTGACATTATTTTCTAATCTTGAAATTAAGATTATAAGAAACTTTACACGTTAAAGAATCTCACAGCATTTTGAACTTTACCCCCTTACTATTTTCCGCTTTGAGAGTGAACTTTGTCACTTACTATATTAAAAAAGGCAAGTATCATACATGTGGTTAGTGGAGGGTAGAGGATAAGGGTAGTATTACATGAGGCAGGTATTCTTTATTAATTTACTGCATTTTAAGGGGGACTGGATAGCTCATGGGATTGGCAATATGGGCTACAGAGATTTTTACCCCTAAATTGCTGGTTGAAATCCAGCCTTTGTCTGTCATGATTAATAATACTTTACATCTAATTAGTAGCATTACTGTAGTAATTGGTGTAGTAATTAATAATATTTTTCACTTACATAGTGCTTTTCATGTGAAAATATCAACATGCCTTTTTAATGTGGGTAAGCATTGTTGGTCAGATTTTTAAGATCGGGTGCCTGAAGTTAGACACTTAAATCCAAATTTAGGTTCCTAAATTAGGAGCCAGATTTTAGGCCTGAACCAAAGCCCACAGAGGCAAGAGGACTATCCCCAGCTACTAGACGCCTCTGAAAGTGAGGTCACTGATTTAGGTGTCACATTTTAGGCACCCGCTTTTGAAAACACTGGCCTATTTACTTCCATCTTACTAGTGGGGAAACTGAGTCACAGAGAAGTTAACTATTTGAACCTGGTTTCTCACTAAGCCAGTGGAAGATATGAATCTCGAATCTATGTCTCCTGACTGTCACCTGCATGATCTATCCTAGTGCCTGCCACCAATGCCTCCCTTGAGTTGAAGGTTGTTTCGTGGCCTATGTAAAGACACTCAGGGGGGTTGAGTTTTAGAGCAGAAAAATGATTTTGCTGCTAAGGCACTGGACTGAGATTCAGGAGATTAGATTTATTGTGTGACCTTGGGTAAGTCAATAATGTGCCTCAGTTTCTCATCTGTAAAATGGGGATAATCACCCTGCTTTTGTCTCTCTTGTCTATTTAGACTGGAAGTGCTTTGGGCCATGGTTTTTTTTTTTTTTCCTGCCGTGCTCCTACAATGCACCCTGCCCCACCCTGCCCCCCAACCTGGGCACTACAGCAATGCAAAGACCGATAGCCGCCCAGTTTCCAGTGGACAGGTGTCCATCTGGCCCCCTTGTTTGACAGTCCCTTAGCAAAGAGGCCTTGGGCCACTCAGAAAAGTGGGGTGTGGGCGCGGGGCTCGGGCAGCTCCAGCACAGCCTGCAGCGGGCGGCGGAAAACTCCTTGCACGTTCAGTCAAATCCAGCGCTGGACCCCCCGCCCGCCCCCGCTCACCACCCCTCCCAGGCCCGCTTCGCCGGCCCTCTGCAGCGTCCCTGTCGCATCCCTGCCCTTGCTGCACTCACCCCTGCGCCCGCCAGCGGCCGCGGGGCGGGGGGGCAGAGCTAGGCGGGCGGCTCTCCCCTGCAGGGCGCGGGGCTCCCGCGCGAGCCGTGCAGACAGAGGGAGGCGGCCCCCGCCGCTCCGGGCTGGCGGGGGCTCTGTGTGGACCGGGGCCCGGGACTGGGGGTGGGGGGGTGTTTGACGTGCGCGTGTTTTGGTGCAATGCGAATTATCGCCAGTCAGTCAGTCAGTCAGGAGGGGCACTGACAGGCGGCGCGGCAGCGGGAGAGTCGGGTGGGGGGGCGGCACAGTGGGACAGCGGGGGGGGGGGCTGTTTCCCCCTCCGCCTCCCATTGCCATAACAACCAGCCACCACAGCCACGGTGCCGGTGCCAGCAGCGGCGGGGGCAGCCTCAGACAAGGGGGGGGGGCCGCCGGGGGACCCGGGCGCGCTCCGTGGCTCTCGCGCACTAGCTCGGCTCGCTTGGCGCGCACTAAACCCTCCCCCCCCTCCCCTCTTTAGTCTCCTGCAAGAAAACTAACCCGGGCGGGCGCAGTCTCGGAGAGAGAAAACGACTCTGGACTTTGCTGGGGGCGGGGGGGGGGGCAGCAAAAGTAACTCGAGCAGCGGCGTCCAAGCGCGCTCTGCTCCCTGCAGCTGAGTTCGGCTGGAAACCCCGGCGGGGGGGGGGGGGGGGGGGGAATAAAACCCGACAAGGAAATCCCCCCGGCAGGCGGCAGCCCCACTCGGTGAGAGAGGGGGAAGGAGAGCCGGGAAGAGAGGCAAGGACAGGGACAAGCGGCAAGGGAGAGGGGAAGAGAGGGAGGGCACCGGGAAAGGGAGGGGGGAAGAAAGAGAGGAGGAAGAAATAAGAGGGGGGGGGGCAGGCAGAGAGAAGGGAAGGAAGAAGCCAGGCGCGGGAGCGGAGGAGGGAAGCTGGGTCTGCTGCTGGAGCCAGGCGGAAACCCCAGCCGCCGCCGCCGCGAGCAGGAAGTCTGAGCGGCAGCGCGGCAGCGCGGAGAGCGGGTGGGAAGAGGAAGCGGCAGCGCAAGAGAAAGCAAAAGCTGCCCGTGCCGCCGGCTGCCCGCCCGCCTGCGCTGGGCTCCGCATCCCCGGCTCCTGCCCGGGCGGGAGAGCTGCGCCGCCGCTGCCATGGCCCGGGAGAACGGGGAGGGCAGCGCCTCCTGGAAGAAGCAAGCCGAGGACATCAAGAAGATCTTCGAGTTCAAGGAGACCCTGGGAACGTGAGTGCCGGCGCGGCCGGGTTGCCTCCTGCTGCTGGGGGAGGGTGGGAGCCGGACCCACCGTCCCGCTCAGCTGGCGGGGCCGGGCGGGCTGGCTGCTGCCCATCCATCCCCATCAGGCTTGCGTGTGTGAGTTAGACGCAGATGGGGGGTGTGTGTGTGTATTTGTCTGAGACTGTGTGTCCCTGGTGCCCGTGTGCCAGCTTGCACCCGAGGGTGTGTTTGGTGGGGTGCGACTGTGTGGACGAGCCAAAGCGTGTCTCTTGCTGCGTGTGTGTCGGTGTGTGTGTGTGTGTGTGTGTCTGGGATGCATGGGTGTTGGCGTGTCTTGTTTCTGTCTCGTGAGTGTGTCTTTGTGTGTGTCGAGGAGGTGGGCGCTGTGTATGGTGGTGTGTTTGTAGGCATTTGAGTGCGTGGGTTTGTGTTTGTCTCATGAATGTGTGTTTGAGAAGGTTTGTGTTTGTGTGGATTGGGGATGTATGGGTGTGTTTGTATGCATCTGAAGGCTTGCTGATTTGGGATTGTGTCATTTTCGTGTGTGTGGTGTTTCATATATGTTTGAAAATGTGTTAGAATTAGTGTGTGTGTGCTGGTGTATGTCTTGATATGTATTAGTATGTATATAAGACTATGTATGCATATATTGGTGGCTTTATGTGTTTTAGTAAGTGCGTGAGTGTGTTTGGTTTGTTACCGTGAGTGCATGTGCGTGTGTGCGCTATTCTATCCAGCACTTTGGTGGGCACGAAAGCATCCAAAAGACAGCCCTGCTTATAAAATACTGTATCTCACTCTTTTTTTTTTCCCATTGTGTGTGTGGAACGACGTTGAATCGGTAATAGAAATAACAATATATTTGTATGCAGAGAAAATGGGTGTATATCTAATATTGACCCCCCCCCCAACTGACTCCCTGGTCACTAACCTCAGTATTCAGACTAGTATGTTTGTTTTTATCAAAAATATTAATAGAAGTGTAATTTAAAATATACATAGGCTGAGAAAGAGAGAGAGAGAGTGCTATCTTGATGGGACAATGAGTCTGACTTTCATGCTTTCTGCTAAAGCTGATGGCAGTCTCTTCGTAGAAAAAATATCAGAAATAATAAGAGTGGGTTGGATGTGTTTCATCTGGTACATTACCATAGTTTAACTGTTGCTTCTTTCACTGTTTTGTTTTATTTGGTGTCTGTTCATAAAGATTAGTAAAATGTTAGACTTTTTGAAGGTTCAGAATAAACGTGTACAGATGGTTAAAAAAAAGGGAACAGGATGTAGTAAAATACTTTTCACTTCAGCAAGGAGGCGTGTGTATTTGTTTAAAAAAAGTTTGTTTAAAAGACATTATAAATGTGGATGGCTGTGAGTTCTAGGAGAGGTTAGCATATGGACTGCTTGTATTTGTTGACTGTAGGCTTCTAGAGCATCTGGCTCGGTCACGTTCTGCGTGTCCCTGGCAGCTGTATTTTGAGAAGCTTTACACGCAACTTTAGGATGACTATAAGTGATATTAATTCTAAGTTGTACTTTACATACTGAGCACTGTATATGCCACTTACAAAATACAGTTAGACTAGTCTAATATAGTATTTCAATTTCTTTCTGCTTCCAAGGGAGGGCTCTCTGTAAACATTAGTATATTTTTGGTTCACCAACTCACTGGTTTGTTTCCTTGTGAACAAACTGTGAGTAAGGATCAGACTAGACATTTAATGTTGAACTAGGTCATGCGTCTGGATTATAATAAGTAGACATTGTAATATTTAGTACAATGCATAGTTTAGTTAATCAAACTAATGTTTTACAGCTCTTTCAAGATGCAAAATGCAGTATAAGTGCTAAATGTTATTATTTTAGTTTATTCTCATTCTCTTTGTCTAGTTCTTGTACTGACAACATTTGGTGTAATAAGAAACATGTCCTTACTTGTCATCATAGGTATGTAATTCTTTGCCTGCACCAAAGGGTGTTGGAAAAAGTAAAATCATAACATGAAGAGATTAATTAAAGCTGCAAGTCTGTTCCCTCTGGTTTTCACTATAAATAGGCTTGGCATAATTCAATTTTAATTTTTTTTGATGGATAATATCAATATTTATTTTAAAGCATTTTTTATTTTCATCTAATTAAATTTTCATAGTTGTAGGAAATTATGGGAGGGTCAGACAATAGGAGTGACAGATAATTGTTATTTAATGCTGAGATTAAAAAATTAAAGTTTTATAACCATTAAAACACAAATTGTCAACATGACATGTCAAAGTGTACGAAGTAAATTTAAATCAAATTCTAATACATTGTCTTTGCCTGTTTGTAAATTTCGATTATCAATGGAAATATTTTTGTAGGTTTGTGTGTATGATGAAATCAACATTTACTGACATCTACTTATTAAAAATTGAATCCTTCCAAGCCTAATTATAAACCTCTGTCACCACAGAAGATTGTCTGTGAAGTTCTCCACATTGTTTGAGTTGTGCCACCGAAGACTGCCTACGTCTGGGGACAGATCGATCCTGTCTCCATTGAAATCAGTGGAAGCACGTTAGAGCTCCAAGGTGGCTATGTGCATTTTATCCAATGGTTCAAATATACTGGTGTGACTGTTGCCATTGAAATTCATTAAATGTAGCCACTGAGTAGTTTGTGCCCTTAAAGATTATTTGTTAATGTCACAATTTGCAAGCTCTGGTTATAGGACTCTATTTAACTACAGTTGTAAGCAACGAAGTTTTTAGATGTGACTTAGTTTAATAGTCAAACTGCAAAGTTTTGCACACAAAAAAAGGCAAATTAAATTAGAAATAATTAACATATTATGGAAGCCAGATCAAAGTCAAAGGGAGCTGGCATAAGTAAAGTAGGACTGGCCCTATTATGACAATTATAAATATTTTTACATTTAAAACCCAATATATGTGAATCAGTTCCTTTACCACTCCCGGAGAGAGCATGCCCTAGTAGCAGTGTGCAAGCATATTAGTCAGGAAATCTGAGTTCTAATTTTGTTTCTGCCACAGATCTTCAAAGGTGCTGAGCACCTGCCAATTTCATTGACTTAAATGGGACTTGTCAGTGCTCATATCTTCTGACAAATTAGGCCATTTGCTGTGCAACTCACAAAGCCCAGATCCTCAAAGGTATTTAGGCAAGGCTCCTAATTTCCATTAAAATCAGTGGAAGGTTGGAACGTAAATAACTTTGAGGGTCTGGGTCCAAGGCCCCAAAGGCCCTCCCATTAAAGTCTGTGGACAGGCTCTCAGTGTTTTAATCGGGAGTTATCTCAGGCTATGAGGGTCAAGTGATCGAGTTCTTTATAATATGATTTACAAACAAAGCTGAAGTCTGGTTTGGTCCCTTCTACAATATAATGCTGAACCATGTTGGAAATGACATATGTAAGCCAATCCCACAATATAATAGATTTTCATAGTGTAGATGGGACCTTAATTTCCTTGACTCAGTTTCCCCATCTGTAAAATGTGTAGAATAATACTTATCTGCCTCAGAGCTGAAAAACTTTGCAGCCCTCAGATGAAAGGTCCTAGATGAAGGTGCATATATTTTGTACTTCTCTTTCACCTTTTATCTAAAAATGTCAAAGGGCTAAAAGCACCTATAACACAAGAGCAGCCCTTTTTCTGTGTTCTCAGCATCTCTCTTGGTGGCTGTGATGAAATCAGCTGTGGTAAGGAAAGCACAGAACCCCCAAATCAGGACAGAAAGTGAAAGAAAAACTGTTTTTCGGATATAATACAGTAGCAGGGACACATAGGGAACTGCCTCCTGTTAGAATGCTGAAGTCTTGGTCATTTGCCTTCAGTGAATGCTCTTGTGCAGTGGTGTTTTCTTAAGGAGTTGGCTGTAGTATGAAACTGGCTTAGATCATACTTCCCCAGGTGCTGATAGCAGCATGAAATTGACTAGGGTCATAAACATAGCCCTGGTCAATTTCACACTAGGGCTTGGACTACAGGGGAAAAGCTTCTATTCAACAGCAAAATCCCAGTAAATCTCTGCTCCTTGGCAACCCTGAAAGTATGAAAAAGAGGCAACCAGGAAAGGACATAAGAGAGACAGACATAAAGAGACAGAGATAAAAAAGTGAGGTGTGTGTGAGAGAGATGTAAACAGAGAAGAAAAAAGGGGAAGGAGACAGAAATGGAGATGAAGAGGGCAGAAAAGAAATACCAAAGCGGAAATGCTCAAAAAGGAGAAGTGAGAAGATGAAGACATGGGAAGGAAGGAAAGCAAGAGTGAGAGAATACTTTTGAAAAATATCTCTTGGAGCCCAGTCCTGTGGTCCTTACTCAGGCAAAATTCCCATTGACTTCAGGAATTGGGTTCTTTTGTTTTGTATTGACATCACTTTGCACTGGAAATTATGGTCCTGATTTATCCATGTGTTACTCCAGTTTCACCCCATCCAGTGGTGTAAAAATAGAATAAGATGGTGGTGAACCAGACTCTATGTAGGTAAGTTTGGTAGTGCCTTTGTTGCTCCCTTTATCCCCATTTTTGAAGTTGCATGTGTTCACTCCTGAATATTGTGTTGGGACAAATAACTAAAAGTCCAGTTAAAGAGGAAGGTCAATGCAGAAGGAAATATATTTCCCCTAAAACCAAACAAAAACATAGTGATAAATACTGGCCCAGTTCCGCAGCTGATGGACATCGTCATGGCTGCATTAAAGTCAGTACAGTTACATCAATTTACACTAGCTGAGGAGCTGTCCCACTGTTTATCTTTACAAAGTTCAAAAAATTCACCTGTTGTAGCTCTAGACAATCAATTCACCTACGTGGACAGGTGGAAAACTGCCTCGACTTGCCACTGGGAGATGTAAAGTTTCACAATAGCAATGGAACCTGTTAAGAAAATAGATAATCATTTAAATACCATTCTCTCTGTAACCCCCTGAAATTTTAAAGCCAGGTCAGTGTCATTTTTAAAGCTGATAATGTGACATTCCAAGAGACCATGAGATGCAGAATGCTAT